TTCCTGTAAGCGCATGGCCCATCGTGCGTTCCTCCCCGTCAGCACTTGGTTGGTCATTAGCCAAGTCAACGGTTGGTGATCTGTCACCAGCTCGAACTGCCTCCCCTGTAAGTACACTCGGAAGTGAGTGATAGCCCATACAGCAGCCAGTCCCTCGCCCCCGTACGAGCTGTAGTTAGCCTCGGCGGGGTTACAACTCCGGCTAGCGAAGGCGACTACCTTCTCTTCGCCTTCCCGCTTCTGACACAGGACCGCACCCATGCCCGCGCTGCTCCAGTTAGTGTACAGCACAAAAGGGTCCTCTGGGCTTGGCAGCGTCAGTACAGTGGCAGTCTTTACAGCCTTCAGCAGCACCTGTAACGCCCTCTGGGCGGCTTCTCCCCATTCCCATTGCTGATCTTCCCTCAGTAGTTGATTTAAGGGCGCGGCGGTCTTACTGAAGTTCGGGATGAACTTCCTGTAGTAATTAAGGAACCCGAGCACGGCTCTCAAAGTGCTCCTATCCTTCGGCTGAGGCACCCGGTCCAGAACCTCCACTTTCGCTCGCTGAATCCCCAGCTGCCCTCCCTGCACTTCGAACCCCAGGTACTTCACTCCGGTATTCCCGAAGCTGCACTTTTTCAGGTGACACGTGAGTCCTGCTCCCCTAATGGCGTCCAACGTTGCTTGCACGTCCTTCACGTGCTGGGCCGGGTCTGGACTGAAAACCACGATGTCGTCAATGTAGCACGCCGCCGCGGGCACTCCGCGGAGTGTCATGTCCATGACTCGTTGGAACAGCGCAGGCGCGTTTTTCATTCCAAAAGGCATGAAGCGCCACTCGTACGGACCGTCCGGTCCATGGAATGCCGTCTTCTTGCGGTCGGCGGGCCGTATGGGAATCTGATTAAATCCCTGCCTGAGATCCAGCGTGGAAAACACTGACGCTCCGTGCAGCTTATCGAAGATTTCCTCTGCCGACTGCATGGGGTACCTATCAGCCACGGTGACCTTGTTCAAGCTCCGATAGTCTCCACACATCCTCCGCGCGGAAACTGCCCCTATCAGATCCTTCCGTGAAGCTACTACAGTTGCCGCGGCATAGTCGCTCTCGGAACGTTGGATTAGTCCTGCCTCCAGCAGCTCGCGACACTTCTCCGTGCAAATGTCTAAGTCCCCTGGGCTCATCTGTCTCTTCCGCTGATAGATGGGAACCTCTGTAGTGATTTCAATCTTCATCTCATGCGTGGTGCACTTCCCCAATTCCTGCAGGGTGTAGGCGAAGGTTCCGCGATGCTGCTGTAACACCTCCTGTAATGCAGCGGCTGATTCCGGATCCATTCCTCCTCCTATCATCCATTCCTCCTCGGGCCCCCGTTCCTGCTTCTTGGGTGAGTCTGCTCCTGTCTCCCCATCTCCTTCTCCCACTCCTGCTGGCGATTCTGTGGCCATGTACGCCGCCCATCCCTCGTCGATCTTCAGGTCATACCGTTCTTCAATCCGCGCCAAGTACTTCTTCTGCCACTCCACGGTCTCTAAGTCGCGGTAACGTTCCCCACATGCGATATCCCGCTGCAGCTCCTTCGCCTTTAAGTGCATCCGCAGCGTGTCCAGAAGCCATGTCATCGCGTTCGCGTCCATGGCTTGACCCAAGGCGGCTCGCCGCTGTCCCTCGGTCACCTCTGGATGCGCCGTAGCTCCCCAAAGGTGCCCCATCGCTGCTTCTCTTTCATTCGCCGTCGGCTGCTCCCAAACTCCCTTCCGCACGTCGTAGACCATCCCTGGGCCCGGCATATCTCCCTCCATGACGGGTGGTCTGCGCACGTCACCGGCGCTGGCAACCGGTTAGGCTCCAGAATGTCACTCACTAAACGGGGCTCTGGCCGCTGCATCAGCGCCAGTGAGTGTCGTAATGCGGCTGTAGACATCACGTTCTGCCAGTACCGTCTCGGCCGATGGGCTCGCGACTCCAGCTACGCGGCGTCGGCTGGCAATCCTCTACCCACTACCCCGCTTATCTCTTCAAAGGCCCTCTTCACCGGTTCTCGCGTATCTTCGGCCAGGTCGACGTTCTCGAGGATGTAGGCTACTTCTCCTTGACGCTATTGAATCAGCTCTAACACCGGCCTCAGTTCTCGGAACGAAGCTCCTCTAGCGTCTTCCATCCCCAGGCCTTCCCCTGCTCTGGAATACCCCTGACATTCCCACCCGGCTATGACCAAGTCTATCTGCCCCCAGCTCTCCAGTACGCGCTCGGAAATAGCTCGGACGTCGTGCACTACAGGGTCCGTCTCGTATGGAAGTGCGTCCTCCCACATTTGCTCTGGATATTCATCTCGCAGCAGCTCCGCATGGTGACGTGCCATCTTCCGGACGTCTGGATCCCGCTCGACATGAATCCACTTCTTAATAGTACACCCAGCGCGCAATGTTGCTGCTAGCCCAGTCCCAATCCCCCCATATAACTCCAAGATGCATATGGGCACGTCCAGTGCCTGTACCCTGCTGACTCGCTCCGTCAAATCCGGTGGGCTCCGCCCCAAGAGTCGCCTCTCGATCCGCCTTTCGTTTTCTACATCATATCGCTCCCATGGCCAATCGTCTAGCTCTTCAGTCAGATCCTTCCTTTGTGCCTGATACGCTTCTCTTGGCTCTTGCCTTACGAACCGGACCGGCAGCGTGCCGACAGCGCTCTCTGGGTCCCAGTATTGCACGCGGAAGAGCACCTTCTCCTGCCACGTACAAATGGTAGCTCCTACTCGGTAGAGGAGCTCCATTCCCACGAGGACATCGTAGTCCTCGGATTTAGAGACTCCACACTGCAGTCGGATGCAGCACTCCTTCTCCGTCCCTGGTAGGAGCACTACTTCTACGGGCCGCTTGGTTTTCGGCATCCATTTCGGTTCCCCCCCTACAGCCGTCATAAGCACAATTCCCTTCTCGATGGTGCGCCCCGATGCATCCAGCTTCAGTTGTTTAGCGAGTCCCTTGCCTATTAATACGTGATGCACTCCGGTGTCAATGATAGCCTGCTTCACGGGCAATCCGCCCACCGTAAGACTCCCCTTTTCCGCGATCAGCACGGACACTTGACACACCAGGCGCTCGTTCGGTTGCCGCCTCATCTCCGAGGGTCTTGCTCCTTCTCCCGCACTGGCCCGCGGCCGGGGACAGCTAGCCACTTCACTGGTCTGGAACTGGCTAACGCAGGGACGTAGTCTGATATCGTCTCGCGCCCGCGGATAGGCCATAGCTGTGTACTCTCGAATATAATCTTCCTCTTCCTCCTCCTCCGCTTCGTCGATTTCTTCGTACGCCAGCATCGCCCGCACTTTTACCTCCTGCTGATTCGGTAGCTGCTCCAGTCTCTGCTGCAGCCGCTTGACTTCGGCTTGAAGCTCCTCTCTCGTTGCCCCCAGCGAGTCCTTCTGCCGGCGGTAACAGTCTTCCTTCCTGTGCCCGCGCTTCCCGCATTGCTCACAGGTCAGCGCGCTGGGACATTCCTGCCTCAAATGCCCATGTTCTCCGCAGGTGTGACAAAGTCGAGGGTCCCCCCGGCTACTGCCCCCAGAGTTCTGTTCGGGTACCGCAGCGGCTGCCCAACTCGTCTTAGCCCGGCTCCTTCCGTCCGGGTCTTCTAGATCCAGCAGTCTCTGCGCTTGTTCGGTTTTCTTCGTCAGCTGGTACACTTCCTTGAAAGTAACATCGGCTCCGATGCTATAGACGGTGCTCCGCACTACCCCCTTCAGTTCTTCGTCCAGCCCTCGTACAAACTTCCTCACCAGCAAGCGTTCGTCCGTGCTTTCCAGGTCCTCGGCTAGTTCTCGGAGCCTGCAGTAGTACGCCAGTAGGGATTCCTCCTTCTTACAGCGGAAATCCCGGAACTCTTCCACACGCGCCTTGGTCTGCCCTGCGAACTCCTTACGTAGCAGCTAGAGGAAGCGAGCCGTAGGGTTGAATATCTCTCCTTCCACCAACTCGTCCAACACGTCATCGCGAGTCAGGCGGTAGAAGGTCTCTGCCTCGCCTGCCAAGGTCCCCACCATCTTCCGAAAGAACTCCGTCGGATCATATCCGTCACGCTCCCAGCAATATTGGACGGTCTCAAGCTGCATCAGATAATTCTTCAGGCTGGGCCCCGCGCCAGGAATCCCCGTACACCGCTCGGCCACCTCCACCTTAGGCAAGTTAGTCGCCTTCCATCGAACTTCGACGGAGCTGGGTCCTTCCTGGGAATCGCCCGGAGCGCCCGCGACGCCGCTAGGCATCAATGCTCGCCTTTGTCGTGGCTCTTGTACGAGGCTTTCCGTCGGCCTCCAGCGTGTCTCCACCTGCTCCTTCTTCGGCGGCATCCCCGGCATCCCGGTTTGTGGGGTCGCTGCTTTTTGGTTCTTCCAGCGTTCCCGTAATTTCTCTGTCCAGCGAGCATCGAGAGGAGTATCTCCCGGGTCCGAGACGACAGTTCGCGCTCGTTCCATACTATCTCCCACCACCCGCGCTCGTTGGTGTGGAGTCCGGTACTTAGGTGAATCCGTTTCGCTCCGCGCGGCTATCTCTTCTGCACGCCTTCCCTCCGTAGGCTTCAACTCCTTAGTATCGTTCCACAGCCTCGTTCTTAAGAACTCTCGACGCTGCATCGAGATACTTGCGTGATTGTTAATCAGGTCCTGCACCACTGCCTGTATCTAACCAGCAAACCCTAGCTTGGCTGACTGGAAACCAGAAGATGGAGGTCGGCGTTGCTTGCGGCATTGGTTTCACGCACTTGGTTCGTTGAAAGTAGACGGAATAGTAAGAATAGGTATGAAAACAATCACGCAAGCAACCCTTCCTCTGTCTGCCTATTTCTTAAGTATCTTCATTAGGTTACCGTTGTGCTAACGGATCCCTTCTCGCCCGCCAACTTCCTAATGTTTCGGTTGTATCGCTTCAACCACCTCGCTTTACTGGTCATCCTCCCTACTGTACTGTTCTACATTACCTATTAGTCACGATGATATATCTACTGCTCTACGCACAGATTAGAATCGTGACAGGGACCAGGGAAGACCAGAGACAAGGAGACGGGAGGCCATGCCTCGGAGACGAAGCAGGGAGGGGTGACCAAGGCGGTGGTGCCAGAGGAGAGTCTCGTGAGACAGGAGGCAACACGAGTAGGGGGTAGACTCAGGACCAGACCTGGACGCTGCAGCAGACACCTGACCCGACGCAACTACCTGACTAGACGCAGGGACAGAAGGAGACGTAGTGGTCAGTGTGTACAGGGTCGACCCCGGCCAACGAGTAAACGTGGCCAAGTGTCGGCCCGTCCGAGCGTCCGTGCAGTGGGTCACCCGCTGGCTCGCAGGAGTGAACTGGTGGACTCCCCCATCCTGAAGGTCAGCACCACTTACCAAGTTCATAGAGAACGAGGGGAGGTGAAGACCAGACAGGGTGCCAGAGGGAGCCGCCGGACACGGGAGGACAGTTGAGAAGTGAGCAAGGACAGGACCCCCAGAGGGGTCTGCCAGAGAGACCGCAACTGGCCGACCAAGCGGCGTGAGTGTAGTGCGGTCTCGAAAGAAGGAGCGAGAAGCCCCCGAGTCAAGGGTGAAGGTGAGGGAGGCCGAAGCCGACTCGGTACCTGAGAGCGCAGACTCACCAGCACCTGAGGGAGCAGACGCACTGGCACCTAGAGCAGCAGCCTCGCTAGCACCTAGAGCAGCAGCCTCACCAGTACCTGGAGCAGTAGTCTCAATGCCCGGGTCGGGCGGGAAACACCGGTAATAGTCACCCTCATCACTAATAGTCACAGCATACATGGCAGCAAGAATAGCATCAAAGTCAAGATCAAAGATAGCTACTCCGGCCCTAGACAGCTCACCCCAGCGGGGGATCTCCGTGGCCTCCGGAAACTGGTGATGCCAAGCGTCCGTCAGGCGGCCAAAGCAGCGCTGGGTGGGGTGCGCACCTTCACACTGCTCACCCGCGCGGTCGCCGGTGCGTAGGACGTACGTGCACGGACCAGTACCCCCACCCCGCTGGCGTGAAGCGTACCACTCACGGAGCTGCTGAGAGGGGGGGATGTCACGGGTGCGCTGCTGCTGCTGCTGGCGCTGACCACCACCGGAGCCGACCCTCTGCGCAGCGCCACCCCGACCAGCTCCACCTCCTCCGCCACCGCCTCCTCCACCGCCGCCACCTCCGCCACCTCCGCTCCCACCGCCACCGCCGCCGCCTCCGCCTCCACTGCCGCCAGCGACACCTCCACGTCCGTCACCACCCCCACCACCACCCCCACCCCCTCCGCCGCCTCCACCGCCGCCTCCACCGCCCCCGCTAGCTCCTCCAGCGCCCCTGCCCCCCTTGCCCTTGCCAGGGCGGCGTCTCCCGCTAGGGGTAGACGCCGCACCGACCGACTCAAGCCCAACGAGGTCGGCCGTAGCAGCAGAGGCAACAGAGGGCAAAGGGGGGGAGGGGGAACACCCCTCAAAGATGGGGGTGCGCGGGTCACCACGAGAGGCTCCTACAGCGACTATGCTCTTCTCCGCTGCTAAGAGGGCCTTCTCGAGGAGGTCAACAGTGAGAGTGGTGGGACAGACTAAGAGGAAGTGGTCCCTGACTACGCGAAGGGATTCAGGGAGACGGGTGACTATATAGTAGAGAGTGATGTACATGGGGGGGGGGGGTTCTTGGCGCAGAACTCAGCAGGAAGCGCAGCGCGGTAGCGAGTGTCACTAGTGCGGAGGTGCGTAATGAGGTCAGCGTCTGTGGGAAAGGCAGCAAGGTGAGGGAAGAGGTACGGTAGCATGAGGCGGCTCAGTGCAGCAGTGGCAGGGGAGGAGTAGCGTGCAACTACAGCATCGTACAAGGTCTGAGCACTCTTGTACTGGCTAAAGTGCGCACGTTCAGAGGTAGGCAGGTGGCGATGCACAGCAAGACGTGCAGCAGCATCGCGCGTGGCCCACTGTGAGCGAACAGTGGCGTCAGCATCAGCAGCAGGGGCAGGAGAGGCACCAGAGTTGATGTCAAAGAGAGAGAGACCGTCTGCCCTATCGCACTGTAAGAAAAGTTGCAGGTCATCTATCCAGACATCTAAGTCAATGGCCCGACCCTCAGCGTCAAAAGCGAGGACACTAGGGGTAGCCATGACAGCAGTAGACTAGTAGTGCGAACAGTAGGGTGAGGGCAGTGCAGTGACATAGGCGCTGCTCTTACCGGACAGGACGGCTCGGGCGGCTCGGCTACAGGGCGACTCGGCGGCTCGACGGCTCGGTTGTACGGCCGCTGGGCGGCTCGGCGGCTCGGCTGCTGGGCGGCTCGGCGGCTCGGCTGCAGGGCGGCCCGGCGGCTCGGCGGCTCGGCTGTTCGGCTGCTGGGCGGCTCGGCGGTTCGGCTGCAGGGCGGCGCGGCGGTCGGCTGCTCGGCTGGGCGTGGCGGCTCGGGCGGCTCGGGTGGCGGGCGGCGCTGCAGCAGGCTACGGCGCCTGTGCCGTAGTGGTGGCGGCGAGGCCGTGAGGGGACGGCGGCGAGGCCGGCAGAGGCGGCGCCGGGGCCGCAGGTAAGGGCGGTGGGGTCGCAGGTAAGGGCGGCGGGGCCGCAGGTAGGTGGCGGGGCCGCAGGTAGGAGGCGGGGCCGCAGGCAGGTGGCGGTGCCAGCAGGTAGGCGCCGGGGTCGCACAGGTACGCGCCGGGGCCGCAGGTAGGCGCCGGGGCCGCAGGTAGGTGGCGGGGCCGCAGGTAGGTGGCGGGGCCGCAGGTAGGTGGCGGGGCCAGCAGGTAGGCGCCGGGGCCGCAGGTAAGGGCGGCGGGGCCGCAGGTAGGTGGCGGGGCCGCAGGTAGGTGGCGGGGCCGCAGGTAGGTGGCGGGGCCAGCAGGTAGGCGCCGGGGCCGCAAGTAAGGGCGGCGGTAGGGCCGCAGGGCGGCGCAAGGGCTGCGGGGTAGGCGATGAGGCCGCAGGGCGGCGGATCGGGGCCGGGAGAGGGCGGCGCGAGGGCCGCGGGGGTAGGCGACGAGGCCGCAGGGCGGCGGATCGGGGCCAGGAAGGGCGGCGCGAGGGCCGCGAGGCAACGGGGCCGCTAGGGCCGCTGATCGGGGCCGCAAGGACGGCGCGACGCGGTCGAGAAGGGGAGCGCGACTCGGGCTAGGGCTGAGCGCGCTCCGGGCAGGAAAAAAAAAATATCGAGTTGGTGGGCCCTAGGAACAGTTCCCACAAGGGAACCTGCTCGATACCATGGTTGAACTATGAAAGAGTTGGGTACAAGTACTAACCCTAATTGGGTTGTACCCCATATGGGCTACCCCACTACAGCCTACACAAAAGCACAAGCTATAATGTTCTGACACCAAGCCCTTTGAAGTCATCACCAATGCCTCATATTTCACCATCGGTGCTGTACTCCTCCAGGATTCCGGCAACGGTTTACAACCGATTGCCTACAAGTCACGCAAGCTACAGGTAGCCGAGCGCAACTACCCGAACCATGACAAGGAAATGCTCGCCATCATCCATGCATTCAAGCTTTGGTGGTGCTATGGTGCTATCTGACAGGCGTCGGCATCACTATTCGCATAGATCATAAATCACTGCAGTATCTCCACGCATAACCCAGCTTCAACCCACAACAAATCAGGTAGCTCGTCTACATCGAGTCACATTTCACCTACCGCATCACGTACAAGAAAGGGGCGAATAGCATTGCCAACGCCACGACCCGGCCAAAAGTTCAATCCATTACAGTACTAATTACCCATTCGAACCCACTATTTATGGGACTATTCACCCACAGCTACACTACGGGCCTTTCTTCACGGCCGGGAGTCACCAGCAAGCTATGACGCACAACGAGGATTATTACCTAAAAGCCGGAACTGACTCGATTTGGGTCCCCGCTTACCGTCTGTTGCGTGAACTCCTCATCCAGGAGGTCCGTGATTGCAACCTCTCTGGACATTTCGGGGTTGATAAAACCCAGAAAATGCTCCACCATCAGTATTATTGGCCAGATTCATTTTCTGACGTGCAGCGTTATGTGTCTTCATGCAGAGTGTGCCAGGCGATGAAGTGGACACGGCAACGGCCAGCAGGATTGCTGCAGCCCCTGGAGCCACCTGAGCGACCATGGCAACAAGTGACGATGGACTTCGTTACGGGGCTGCTAGCTGGCCCCTCCAGCAATGACGCGGTGCTCGTCGTCATCGACCGCCTCACGAAAATGGCACACTTTGCACCACGTCGCACGAGCATCACTGCCAAAGAAGCTACGCGCCTTTTCATCTCAACCGCAGTGCGACTACACGGAATTCCATCGGTGATGGTCAGCGATAGAGACCCAAAGTTCACTTCGAATTCTTGAAAAGAGACATGGGCGCAGTATGGCACGAAGCTTTAGTCCTTGTCGGCCTACCATCCACAACCGACGGTCAGACCGAGCGGACCAATCAAACGATGGAGCAGCTCATCCGCACAAACTGCCCCACCCCACTCGCTGGAAAAATTCACTCGTGATGCTGAAATTTGCGTACAACAATGCCCCGTCCAATACGATTAATCACTCCCCGTTCTTCCTTAATTTCGGGATGGACCCGGTGGTACCAACCACGACTACACTCGACAACCCGGTCCCAAGGTCACAACACTTTGAGACCAAATTACAGAATATCCGCGTAAAAGCAGCCGAGGCAATTCACAAGGCCAACATCACCGCCCGAAAACACTCTGATCTTCTTCGACATGAATTGATCATGACAGCCGGGCAACTAGTGCTGCTCGACAAAAAAAAAAAAAAAAACCTTTGCTTGCCAAGCTCATCCATGTTCCGGCCACGATTTTGCGGGGCTTTCCGCATCTTAAAGATGGTGATACTTGTCACCGCAAAGCTGCAACTACCCGACGACTTGCGGGTGCACGATGCTTTTCCACGTAAGTCTGCTTCGCAAATTTGTCCCGGCCACGATGGACATTGCTTGCCAGAATGCCGCCCCGACAGCTCGCCCTGTCCGGAATCAACGCTTGATCCTTTGAAGATCTTGGCCCATTGCGTTCAACTCGACTCTTTTGGCCGCCACGATGACTTCTTAGTCCGCTGGACCGACAGTACCAAAGAAAATGACATCTGGGTGCCATCCGCCTCGCAAACGAGTGCCGGACATTGACCACCTTTCTTAGAGGAAAGGGTAGTGTAAAAATATTTTATTTTCCTTATCGGTGTTGACTGTTACGCGTACAACCCCAACATTTCTGGACTTCGCACGTTCGACCGACATCCACGATTCCGAGGCTGCTCCACGTCGCATTCGGCCTTCCTTTCACCAAACGTGCACCCAAACTTGTATCTCTGAGGTCCTCCTAGCTAGGGTAGTGACTATATTATGACTTGCCTTCATGGTATTCATTGAGTCACAACTTCGATATTCGTTTTCTGCGCAACTCTGTTTTACAACCCATAACAGCTAGCATCCCAAGACTTTCGAGACCTTTGCAATTTGCTTCTATAATGATTGCTCATGCCTTCGCTCGGTTCCTTAAGAGTGACGCATTGTTGCTCAGTCAATCCGCTTATAACAATACATAAGAATAGAAGTCCATTTATTTCAAGCATAAAATGTGTAAATGGACTGCCCAAATGCATAAACATCTTGGGTAGATGAAAAAAAAATCGTGTCTAACAAGTGGGCATTACCAAACGCGTTCCAACTTCGTTCTGAATGGTTTATCCCGGTGTGCAATGGTCTAAAGCGGTAAGATCCGAGAACCGTGCCCAAACGTAGTTGACCGTATTCAACCACGTCAAGCGAACTCAGAGCAGAATGTATGACCCCCGTCGGACCATTCTGTTCGACGACCACCAAAAATGGAAACACTCTCCGCAAGTCCCGCAACTCGATACAAGATGTTGAAGCTTTTTTGCCTTGTCGCACCCCCATGGAGTTTGAATCCCGCCTTGTCCATACGGATTTGCCAGCTTAACGCGTTCAGTAGCCGCAAGCGGCGCCCCCCAACGCTTTCCTCCCGTCATCGCCGCCCCCTCGTCCATCCATTCGCGTTCCTCCCCTTGTGCCCATCATGACGACAGTCGCCACACCCCCGATCGACTCCTTCTCGCAGCCCCAACACCATCGTCGATATGTCCTAAGGTCGACCGAATGCACGTTTCCGGGCCTCGGCGCAGCGGCGATTCCTCTGAGCTTCCTCTCGCCCCCCCCACCCCCACCCCTCCCCCTCCCCCCTCCCCCTCTCCTTCTTCCGCAACGAGACTCCCCAGCGACGATCCACGAGCAATTTCTAGGAATAAGATTTAAAAAGGGCGATTGACCACTCGCTCTCAACATAAATCCGACGCTCGCTTCCGAGGGATCAGTCATATTCTCCCACCGCTCCTCGCTCATTGCGTTCCTTCGTCTCCTTCCTTCTCAGTCGCACCTCTCACTCGAACCTTCAAGGTCCCACCCAATCTCACCTCGTCGCGACGGTCCAGCGACGTCAGATCCGGCGATTCAACTCGGGCCTGAAACTTGCCGCCATCGTGACGTCATCGTGATCCCAGTCTTTTCGTTTCCTCTGGCGGCCTTTGAGGCGCCTCAAAAACCCCCGACTTCCCCGTTTCCCCCACGACTCCCGTCGCCATGAAGCCCTGCGCGCCGTCCGCTGTCGCCACGAGGCCCGCGCGCGCCTGTCTGGCCTGTGTGGCCTCGCCGCACTCGTCGCGGGTCTCGTCGCCATCAGCTTCCTCGCGACCCACGCCAGCGCCGCTGTATGGTGAGTGGGCTGACTGAAACACACCACGGGCAGTAGGCGTGTAATGCTGGCGTGTGGATGAGTGCGACTCACAATCATAGCAGAATCTGTCTCGTTTTGAGCCTCTTCCATACCTTGCCTGTGTGCTGGTGTGTGTGCCTCTCTGCCCCTTATTTGAAACTATCACGACTTCTGTGCAGACCTGTGTGCGAACGAGGACTGCGGGGAAGGCACCTGCGCCGTTGATGTAGACAATGACATACCCCGGTGTCGTGTGCAAGGACGGTTTGGTATTCGACGACGACCACAAGACGTGTGTCGTGGGTGAGTGCTGGAGTGTGGGCGAGTGAGAGCGTGTGGGTGGGTTTACAATCATGAACAGCAGTTCACTCAATTAACTTGCATTTCCCTGCGT